GAGAGAGAGAGAGAGAGACATTTAAACCCACATACGTTAATCAGCCACTTTCTATTTATCACTGTTTCTTTATTTTGAACCTTTTTTCTTCTCCACTATTAGCCACTCTATTGCTCTCTACCTTATAAATATTTATATATTTTATCACTTTATATTCATTTTATTCATATATCATGCAGCCCTATTTTTGAGGTCACAAAGTGCTTTTGATATAAATATCTGGTGTTTTTCATTTTTCCATGTATTTTAATATTGTTATATTATTATTATTATTATTATTATTTTGTTGCATTTGTTTCCACTGTTTTGTGTTGTTTTGGTGATTTGTTTTGTTTAAAAAGACTGTCAGAGTAGAGCAGCAAAATAGCATAGTAAGAAATAAAAGTGAGTGTGCTCGTATCCTTTTTATTGAGAGTGAGTGTGTGTGTGTATGTGTGTGTGTGCGTGAGGACGCGTGCATTTCTTCATATCATTCCATCCACGAGTGTGTCGATGCATGAATTAAACTCATTCTGAATACAGTGTTGATGTTGGAAATGTCGTAGTAAAGAGTAAAGTATTTTTAAATGATGAAAATGACATGACATGAAAAATGATATAGGTGTTTACAAAGACCAAACCTTTTTTTTTCTCTTGTTTTTTTTCTCAAAGATGAAATAAAACTTGACTGGCAAATGCTCAGAAGAGTGTATGTATCTTTTCTACTGATGGAGGGGAAATCTCAGCTCAGTTAACGTTCAGGATATTTTTCAAAATGAAGATGCTAATTTCAATAAATCCTCTGCAATCAGCAAATAGACTGCAGTATGTAATCATTTTGGGATTTAACAAATTAGCCTGTTGGTGAATTAGCAACAGTCCTGTTTTATGTTCATATTTGCAATCTGACACAGATTCATCATATGGCCAGCTTACCCGTGCCTGGACAGGCAGATGTTGGATTTCTGTGACCTTAAAGGATTGGTTCACATCTCAAGACTGTCTTAAAAAAAACCCACACACACGCCTATCTGTATATTGCAACAGTTTGTGATTGTTATTGGTGTCCATACTGAACTAGAAGAGATCCCTTTCAATGTAATCAATGGGGGACAAATCCACAGTCCTTGTTCTAAACAGTAAATGAACTGTATTTGTATATAGCGTTTTGCAGTTTGCCATTCACACGCACAAGGTGAGCACAACATGCTAGCCTGACCATCAGGAACAATTTGGGCTTCAGTGTCATGCCCGAGGACAAGAGGCACCAGGAATAGAGTCCTACCTTCTGAACCACAGTCCACACTACTCTACCTCTTACATGCTCTACCGCTGAGCTACATCCTCCCACTCATTCTTTGCAAAAATGAAGTTCAGCTGAAGCTAATATGCAGTTTCAGTAGCCTGAATTAGTGAGAGTTAGTCAAATCAAGTGATATTTCTTCCAGATCTTCGTTTTAGCATTAAATTCTGTATTTGTGTTATCACAACTCAGCAAGGAAACACAGTCTGAGGAAATAAAAAGAGGGAACTTACTTTTACACAGAACAAGGTCTATGGATTTAGTCTCTCAACCAACAATTATGTGCAAAAGTTGTGGTGTCCTTTCTTACAGAGCCTACAGTATAAATCTCTGAAAACAAGACCAAGAGTCAACAGCAGTGCTTTGAGTTATGTTAATGTTAGCATGCTAATGTGCTGATGTTTAGCAGGTTATAACAGTAGTTTCATTCTCCAGCAGATAAGTTATATATTATAATATGAAAACATGGTGGCATTCTGCCAGCGTTATCGCATTACACTGGGCTGTTATGAAAATTACCACTTGACTGAATAAAAGAGGTCACAGCACAATAAAGGACACTGTCAACACAGAGATGATCGCTTACTGTTTGATACCGAGCTTTATTTGATCTGCTATAATGTTCTGAGTCATTTCCACATCAAATACACTACCAGAATGCCTGTGTTTGTGTCTGAGTCTGTGTTTGTGTTTGTGTTTGTATGCCTGCCACAGTCCAGTGATTATAAATCTTAAATTATCTGAAGAAATTGTCTGATTAAATCTCCAGGGAATAAGCAAAGATTTGGCAAAACATAATATCCTCATGTCTGGCTATCTTAGATCTTTTTTTGTCCGCATCGTATCAACAGTTTTGACAACAAGATGACACATGCGTGATCAGGAAAGCCTGAGCTTGAATGTCATAAACAAGACCGAATTCTAATTTACTTTCCAGTCTCAGGGTGTGACATAGTGATGTTGCCAGCTGTGTGAACACTTGAATAAACAAGATAATAAGCAGACACTGAGGAATGTTAAGAAAACTATGTTTGCCTCAACAACTTGTTATTCTCTGTATGTTACTGAGGGGGAAACTAATAGTAATTTGTTCTGCTTAATTCAGTGTCTGCAGCGTGTTCAGAGCAGTGCAAACATCTCCAACTCCTCGACCAAATCATTAATTTTGGTTACATCTGGCGTGGCTTAACCTGGCTCAATTTGTTTCAGTAAGAATACACAATTAAAGAGGAACTCTTTACACATAAAATGTCAGTGTGTACAACTCAGTCTGTGTAAATAAAGTTGTATGATGTATTCTGTGGCTCTTAAGGGAGCTTTATAAAGTTAGAACACCTAACCCAGTTATGGCATTAGGGTTATCTTGGTTTGGTGCTGCACGATTAATCAAATATTAATCATGATCACGATTTTGGCTTCCCACAATTAAATGAACGTGATTGTCAACGTTGTTGATATTTACAATGCGTGCTCAGCTCATAGAAAACTCTGCTGCATATCAAATCAAGCACTTCCTAAACTAATAGCTAGCCACCATGGGTGATCGGGGTGTTCTGGTTTCACTTTCAGGGAGCTGTCCTGTCACTGCACACGCACACTCTGCACCTGCTGCCTGGATAGTCTGATTCCTGAATTTGCAGCTTCACATTAAAAGCATTTAACTGGTAAAACCCCGAGTTGATTTTGATGTTAGTGTTTGTCAGTTGGACACTATCGTTCAACAAAAATGCATCTATATAAACAAGACAACAGTCATTTTCTGAATTTTCTGCCAGTAAATCAGTTTGAAATACGTCAGAGAGTAATGAGTCAAGAAGGAACAGCCACAGTGAGCTGTTAAAGGAAGAGCTGCAGGCGACACACTGCACACCTCCAACTTCCCAGCCAGGAAAGCAAAGTTACTTTCACTGTCACTGTTCACAGACTCATGCCGTCTGCAGCATAAAATCAGACCACAGTTGCTCACAGAATGATGGAAAAAGAACAATTATTGCCTGACTACTTTATCAAAACAACAATAGTTCATTTTGCTGCCTCCAGTGTTCTTAGCCTGTAGTATTAACCTGGTGTCAATGCACAATAACAGTGCAACTGCATAATAGCGGCCAAGGTAGTGGTGGTGGTTTGGGCAGTACTCTGCAATCGTGAAATAATCGTGATCTCAATAATGATCAAAATAATCAGGATTATTATTTTGGCCATAATTGTGCAGCCCTAGTTTGGATGCTACAAACTGGTGACCTGAAGTTTGAAAGATTTTGGCATTTACCAGTTATGGAGGGTTAAACAAAACAATGCTATTGTATTGCATTATGAGCAGTCGGTGTTTTGTTCATTTAAACCTGCCCCTAAACCTAAGATAATATAATATAATATAATATAATTGAGTATTTATAGTATATAGTTTAGAGAATATTATAGAGCCAAGATGAAACTGAAAGGTGGGACTGAGAGAAAAGCTGCAGTTACAAATGCTATT